TTTGTATATTGTACATATTCAATTTCTCTGTAAATACATAAAATCCACAATGTCGAGTAACAAAATGGCAACGAATCTAGTAACGAAATACTGTTAAACGACAAATACAATTTGACAAATTCAGGTACAAACCATTTGACCATTCAGTAACTTTCTTTTCCTCAGTCTGCCATTGTTTGTCATAATAGATGTATAGAAAACATGTTTTATACAATTGTAGCTGGATAATAGGTAGTACCGAGAAAAGAGGGAAGAGAAAAGGCACGCGCTCCTTGGTATTTAGGAGAAGCGGGAACGTAACAATAGGCGAGAGTACACGAGGGATAGAAACGGAGTAACGGTGTGTCGCGGTTCACCCGGGCTTACTTTTATGTCCCGCCGTTCTCCTGTCTTCGAGTCAAGCATCCCACGCTCACCCCTTGTGTCTCACTTATCTGCTTGCCTCTTTGCCCTCGCCGACAAAAGAACGAACGAGACTAGAGGAGAGTGTAAGCACCGAAGAACCGCTTCGTCGCGAGAACACCTTTCTCTATTATTAAATTGTATGTTCCTCAACCCCTTGGTCACCTCTGCCATCGGGGTTCACGCGATTTCAGAGAGATGATAATGGTCCGTTCAAGTTTATGGCTTCCACGGGCGAGTTTCGAACGTTCAAGTTGAAATATGGTCTCACGAATACTTCCGAATTTTATACTTACAGAAATTTTTAATTTTAGGGAATGATTTTATCACAGCTCTATTTTTAATTAATTTTATCTTATCTACTGTCATACATACTACCCCAAAATGTTTTAATAAAATGATAGATAAATTAAGCGTATAAAATAAAATATACAGGATGTCCTACACCACACTTCCATTCCTATTAAAATGGCGGATTTGATTGGAAACTAAAAAAATTTTATCGACCAATTCGAGCATGCTCCATTGACTGGTGGTAGTTGCAACTTCCGTTACTAACCGAAAATGGGATTTTCACAGACCGGGAGTCGTGTTTTTAACGAGACCTGGTATTTTTTATTGCACATTCGGATTGTACGCAAGAAATATAAAATTTCTAGTGTCGTGGCAATTTTATTTATAAAATAATAATTTTGTACTCACAGTCAACGGAGACTTTGATCTGCTTACTGACAGTGGGAGGCACTCCGTTCGTGGCGATGCACAAATAAACGCCCATATCCAGTCTTGAGATTCGCATGATCTCCAGCGTCTCGCCTTTCCATTCCGACACTGAAAACGAAAACGAAGCGACGTGACAGACAATTTCAATTCACTGTTAATTATTTTCCTGCCCTATCTAGACGCACGACAGGAGTTTAAAAGCCCGGAACTCGCCCACACTAATTGACAAACCAATGACCTGGAATGAAAGCGGTTGGGCAAAAAAGAATTTCACCGGCGATATTAATTTATTTCATTTGCGGTTATTCAATAAGTTGAAGCCTTAACAATTCTTTTATTTTAATTTCTCGTGAACGAATGATTTATAGAATGTGATATGTTTTATTTGAAATATTGATTGACAGGGCAGCGTGAGTAGTTTTTGTTCAATTTATTTGTCATTGGTATTATATTTTCAAGATAAATATCAGGATGAAACGTGGCTAGAGGTAAATTCATCAGCTCCATTCTTTTTATTAGCTGTTTGCATTTGTTATTGAAATATAGGAAAATAGAGAATGTCTGAAATTGATGAACCTAAAATATATTTATCCTCTCATTCAATGAAAAAATATATGACAACCTATCATAATTTCCAGTTGGTGATTTAACCCTGTTCACAAACGGAGAGTACCGTTTTATCTCGTCTCGAGGCCGCGTTAATTACACGCGTTCCTCTTTGATACATCAAACTAATGCCACGGTATTTAAGTAGTATATCTCAGCGAAAACGTATGACTACTCGTAACGCGTTTAAACGATTCCCTGGTAGCCTCGGGAATATTTAATCACGGCCGAAAGAGAACGAACGCGATCTCTCGAGCTTCGGGTCGTCAAAGATCCATGGCCGTTTCCTTATACATTTCACCTCATCAATTAGTGCGTGCCTCGACCCGTGCAGCCTCGCGCAAAAAATTCATCGCGGCTCGTTCGGCATAATTATACGTCACGAAAAATTCTCGCGCCGTTAACGATACCACGCATCGTGAATCACCCGTCGAAACTGTGTGACATGTTAATGAGTTCTCGTTTCTTTCTCCATTAAACGCACTGTCGACTTTTTACATGCGTAAATAACGTGACAGCAAATCAATATTTGCGATACTACAAATTTTCAGCTGTTGTTTCTCGTGTTTTAGTATGTCACATTTTCAATTAGGGCAATTATGATTAAGGGGCTTCACGAAAGTCACGTGACTTTTCTAACATTTTTCGGTAGAATTCTGATATTTTTCACGTTGTTTTATTTATAACCAAGCAAAACTAGTGAAAAGTATGAGTTTACTGGACTACGTTTTTCGTTCTTATATAAGAGATTTTTGGATCCTTAGGTACTTTTAAGGAAAGATGAAAGGCTTAAGTCCATTTTGAGAATTTCAAATAGGACTAAAAAGTGTAAGACCGAAAAATCGCATATTTTTGGATAATTTTGTAGATAACGTGTAGATAAAGGCATTCTGCCTTATCGCGTCGCTGCTGGAGTCTATTCCCTTAATACATATCCACTGTTCAGTGTCCTACAGAGATCAATGATTGTAGAACACCAGTGTTTTGGCTTTCACATCTATTCTTGCAATTGTTAATTATTCTGCATATTCTTATTTTATAATGAAATAAAAAGATGCATATATATGCTTATAGCTGCTAATAAAAATATAAACAATATATATATTGTTTGTATTGTATTGTATAATACATAATGTATTAATCTTAAAACATTGATGTTCCTCTATGTCATCTCTTGCTCTATGTATATCCTCCTACGCTATTTTTCGTCTGAATTCAACTCTTCCCTATCTTTCAGCCTACGATAGCACAGTTTTTGGAGTACGCGTTTGATCTCTTCTCTCTGGACGGAGAAGCCAGACTGAGTGTCATTATTTTTAATTGCTTGCGTCATGCTGGGAATCCATCAAAACTCGGTCACAGATCGATGTCCGTTAAAGAAAAAAGATATCCACGAATGTTAAATAGTAAATGTGTCACTTGAATTGACATAGTGGTTCAAAGTTCAAAAACAAAGAGTTCAATTATAAATCGTCCTGTAAATTGTCAATCGTCAGAACATCAAATTGTAATATCAAATAATATTGTAATACTAATCCCGGAAACGAATTCCGTATCACGTTTAAGCACCGCGGTAGCGCAGTTACGTTGGTTACATTATTTGTATTAATCGAGTTTATGGCCGATTTATTCATGAATGCAATTATGTAATTGTATGTATAAAATTAAACTTACTGGAGAGCGTTTTGTTGATTGAGATTTTCGAGCCATCCTCTCGTTTCCAGCTGATGCTCGGTTTAGGACTTCCAGTCGCTTTGCAAGTCAAAGTCACGTTCGCACCCTCGCGAACAATAGCATCTGAGGATGTCTGGTAGTCTTCTATGTTCGGAGGCACTAAAAAAATATATTTATCTTGTATTAGACTTAATGTGCCATTTGTAGTCATTGGACTGTTTGTGGCCAATACGTTATTTATTCTGATTCATTAAGTATTCTTGTGCCAGTTTGATTAAAAAGCCCTGTCATAAATGTTTAAAACTATTCGGTTCAAATAGCATAGAAACAAACGTGCCGGGGCATCAAAACTCAGGAAAAATTTAAGACCAAGTTCAATCTGGTCGAGCGACATGGGATGAGGGGCATTTGAATCGCGATCAAGGAGGCCGCAATCGCGCAAAAGAGCGACGTCGAAAGGACGGTTCGGAGATCCGACCGACAGCGGTCACAATATAATAAAATTTGCATGACACAGAACCGCGGCCCTGGAGTGGACCCGTGCTCGAGAACTCTTCAACAAGCGGGACCTGACCAAAGGGCAAACGGGAAGAAGCCTGAATGGCATTCTTTCACATGCAAATCGAATTCAAAGTTAAAGAAGGAAATAAGAAAAAGAAAGGGCGAGGCAGGAATGAGAGGCTCGACGGTCCGAAGAGGTCGAGGCAAAGGGGTTCAAGATGATCGTTCCGGAGAATCCAGTTACAACCGCGGAAACGTTCGGAGACGAGGTTTCGAGGCTTTCTACGAGCAGCCGGAAAGGCAAAGGAAACGAGATGTGCGCCGAGATAAGACGGCAGGGAAGAGGGAAATCCCCGTTAAAAAGTCGTAATCACCGGCGATAAGAGGCCTTCCTCGCGGCGAAGGAAATGTCTGAAAGAACAGGGGCTCGAGGGCTTCGAAGTGCCCGAGAAAGTTTTGACCGAGCCGACTTATTGTTTCTAGTTGCTACGTACCTTTTCTGAATGGTATTGGGGTATTATACAAGATGAGACAATAAAAAATATATTACGTACAATAAATTGTTCTTTAACGATTTTATAATAATATGTGCATAATGGAGGTCATTAAATAAATGTATTCTCGTGTTCCTGTCAGAGTTTATAACAATGTCAATCATTACTGAACAATTTTAACAAATTTAAACAATCATTTTATACGTTCCACAGACATAAAACGAGCTGTTCTAACTATTTTCTTAATTTCAAGAATTCTGATATTAATGCAAATAAATCTCTTCTTTCCTGTTTAATTACATGACGTAATCAGTGATCAGTTGACGATTAGTATGATTAATGATTTAATGCATCAATCTGGCGACAGTCATCAGTGGTTTGCAATAGTTTCGTGACACTCGATGACGCGAATTACTAATGAACATATGTAGTAATTAATATAATAAGTAAGCTATATCTGTAAGGGACAAAACTTGTGACGATATGTAAATATGAAACGGGATTAAAAATATTAAATTACTGTTCTACAAATATTTTTAACTTTATAAGTATTTTCTCTTCTCAAGTTTTATTTTACGAATTCTAGTTTTATTTATTTCCTTCGATATCGCGAGGAGCCAAATAATTAATTTCTTAATGACAAACCGTAAGACATGACATTTTTCTCTTCTACCGATGTTGCGAGGAAATAGGTAGGTAAGCAGATCATATCGGAGATAAGAGGAACTACTTTCGCGTTATTAAAATCGCATCAACGTAGACCGATTTTCCGCGAAAAGCTCGTGACTCGTGCGTGGCTCTTTGCTGCACGCTCTGTGATGAAAGTAGATACTACGAAAGCTATTACAATGTCTAACCGGTGTAACGAGGCGCAAAATCGACGGGAATGAAAATTTAAATTTATTTATTAACTCAAATCATTTGTATAATAATTATTAGAAATCAGAACGGTTGCTACATTGACTGAGTGGTGAAATCAAAATTGTCAGTGAAAATCAATAGCAAATTTCCTGCCAAAACAGATTTTTTATTACAACGTCCACTTGGACAAAATTAATTATCATATATGTATAAATCAGAATAAAATGGAAGATGAAAAGTGAAATATTTGAAGGAATATTGGTTATTGAACGTCCCATTGCTGCATATGTTATTATAATTAAATTCTGAAAGTATCGACCATATTTCACATATCCTTCAACACGAGAACGGATACCCGGAAACGTTTAATTCGCTTATGTCACTGGGAGAATAAAGGAGCATGTGACATGCGCATACCTTCGCCGACGAGAGCTGAGACAAGCGGCCATTAAAATAGAAAATGCGAAAAAAAGAGCAACCGACATCGCCTGCGTGCGTTATTATATTCGAATAGAAAATCGATAATTAAACTAGCCATGGAAAATGAAACGGGAACGAAAATTTAAGTATTCCTACTTCGCTATTCCTGCCAAACTGGTCGCATATCAAATGTGTCATTTTATTGGCTAATACTTAAATCGTATAATTAAATTATAAGTATTCATTAGGTATGAGTTCTTCCTTTATAGAAGCTGACTTATATTCCTACTTTCAATATCTAAGAGAAATTTAATCTATTAGACACTGATAGGCAGATTTAACTAGCATACATAAATTGAAATATTTGTATGAGCTTTCAAACATGTAGATCTGATCACAGCAAACTTAAATTGTTAAATACAGCTTCTGAAGATCGTTCCGAAACACGATACAGGACATAACTCCAATTGATGCCATCCAAGTTCAGGGAGGTATTTCGTTCAAAGCTTCGACAGGCTGCGTTTTACGATCGGCAACGGAAAAAAGTAACTCTCGGATCGAATATCCTTCATGAGTGTCCTTCCATTAATACGGTCGCGGCTGATGCACCGAATAGGGCGGGGGTGGTAAAAAGCAGCTTAATTTGAAAGTCTAAATGCGATCCGAGATTCTGTAACCGTTGCCCCAGCTAAAGGGACGATCTCTACAGTCGGCTTCATAAATGCCCAATTTCACGCAAATTTGTGTCCACCATAAAATTTCCCTTGTTACATTATTATTATAATTATACACTCTTCGTAGTTACGAATCAAATTTTCTCTGTGATTAATTAAATCTTGTTGAAATATTCTATTTTCACCCAAATGTTCGAAATACATTAAGTGACAGAGTTAACATTAATCTTTTTTCTTGGAATTAAAAGTTTGCATTTTGCCAAGTGTTGTGCATAATTAGGATCGAGGGAATATCTGTGGGTCAGACTGTACGCGTCTCTAGAGTCTGGTGTCCGTAAATTTCAGTCGACCCGTTATCCGCCGCGATTCACGCGAACGCGCGGAAATAAATAACAGAGGCGACTCGACCCAATTATATCGCTGTCATATTACAGAAAAAAATATCATATCGCGTTTGGCGAGCAGGGGAGGGCTTGACATCTGTCGTCTGCATCGCCGTTTGTGACGTTGATCGAAACCGACGTCCGTGATTCGCATGACTGGCGGACGAACGCCGGACCAACCACTGACGAATGTAGAATAAAAATGAATACATCTTATTATTTTATATGAAGTTCTTTTGACTATCGAACCTTTTATTATTTTTAGTACAGATCAATTTTAATGTCAATAATCTGCAATCCCCGATCGTAATATAATTACAATGATTGACTGACTAGATAATTATATGATTCAATAATCGCAATAGAAATCGAAATAGATTCTTATTGCCTTTAATTGGTAATACATTTAATAGGTATTCAGAATTCTACTTTTTTATTTCATGAATTATATAATGATAATTATAATGAAATTATATAATGAAATAGATAAGTATAATTTTGAGGTGAGAAGAAGACAGTCTACAATTATAAGCGTGAAATGAGATTCGATTGATGGATTATACCGGAAAGAGAGATTAAAATAAAGCATGGGATGAAGCAAAAAAGGGAAGAGGAAGAATTGACACGGGGAATCGTACGACAGATACGACAGCGTCAATATTGAACGGTTCCACTGGAAATTAATCGAGAGAATATTCATATCTGCATGCCGAAACGTACTGTTTATTATGTAACAATTTCGTCACTGATAACAAGTGTATAATCAAAGAAGATTATTTGTACAGTCAGATAATGCTGGTTAAGAAATAATGTTGTTTCTCTTGTCATGTATCAGACCTCATGATGGTAAATTATTAATTAATAATTATTATTAATGATTTGCCATTATTTCTTCAGCGTTTTTATTTTTAATGGAATCTAATAGCGGAATCCGAAGTCCAACTTGAGTGGCTAGATATTTACTTGATTCGCGGAAGCCAGCATCTGGAGGCTCGGCTGGTTACTCTAGAACACGGCACCCTAGCAATCCTCGTTTTTTCTCTCCCCGTTACTCGAGTGGCCAATTACGGACAACGGAGATTTCAGAGTTCGATGGAGAGCAAACGAAGACTCCGTCTATCGATCGAAAACGTAACGGGGTTCCCGCCCACCATCGCGGTGATTATTTAGCCCTCGAACGGAATACGTCGGACAATATCGATGTCTGCAAGAATTGCAGACTTTTCTTTACAGATGACTTGAGTAACGAACCGTCTGCTCTGCAATTCTGTTACGCCGATGTGCAAAACTAACGTACGGATCATTTTTACTCACTTTATATTAATAGAAATATTCGTCTCAATGTATTAATTACTCAAGCAGAATATTTATCAAGCCACAGTGGCTAAAAAAGTCTCGGTTCTTTCGACTCTTTAAAAGAATAACTTTTTTAATGTTAAACCAATCAACATAATTTTTTGTGGGATACTAGAAGGCTTAGTTTAATATATAACGAGTAAAAAAGTGTTTAAAATTCTTATTGGTCAGAATGGTTGAAAGAAAACAATGAACGTCACATTTCTTAACTTTCTATTAACTAAGCCTTCTAGGCTTTTATTTTAATTATTCTGTTTCAAAAATTGTGCCAATACTTTTTTCGCATCTCATAAAAATTGATATGGTTTCCTTGTAAGAATAAAGAAAACTACTGGCAATTTAAAAATCTAGCAAAGAGCTTAGATTTACTTAGAGAAAATGAAAACTGATAATGTGATTTAATAAATTCTAATTCGAAACCGTTGGCAACCAACCCCAACTGGTTCGCTGTTTCTCTTTCGTTACGTCTG